AAGATGAGTCTCTTGGAGGTAATATATTGTTGGGTCTTTTTTTAAAATCCAATCTACCAGTCTATGTCTTTTGATTGGTGAGTTTAGGCCATTAACAGGGTTATTATTGAGACATGACTTGTATTTCCAGCCTTTTTGTTTGTTTTTGGTATTTAACTTGACTTGGTTTGTCCTTTGATTCATTTTTCCTTTAGTTTAAAACCTCCCTTTGCTGATTTTCACTGTTGTTTTTCAATTCCTCTTCATGGTGTATTTTGTCAAGGATGTTCTGTAGTGTAGGCTTTTGAGTTGTAAAAATCTTTTGTTTATCATGGAAGGTTTTAATTTCATCATCAAATCTAAAGCTTAATTTTGTTGGATATAAGATTCTTGGTTGGCATCCATTTTCTTTCAGAGCTTGATATATGTTGTTCCAGGATCTTCTAGCTTTCAGGGTCTGGGTTGAAAAATCTGCACATATTCTAATTGGTTTCCCCCTCTATGTAATCTGCTTTCTTTCTTTTGTGGCTTTTAATATTCTCTCCTTATTCTGTATGTTAGGCATTTTCATTATAATGTGCCTTGGTGTGGATCTGTTGTGATTTCGTACCTTTGGTGTCCTGAAAGCCTCTTGAATTTAGTTTTCAAATTCATTTTTCATGTTTGAAAAATTTTCTGATATTATTTCATTGAACAGATTGAGCATTCCTTTGGTTTGGAATTCTTTTCCTTTCTCTATCCTAATAACTCTTTTTTAATGTAAGTTAGTCAAATATTTTATTTCTTCTTTTCCAACAACTCTTAATTTGGACTTTTTATGCTATACCACATTTCTTGTATGTTCTGCTCATGGTTTCTTACCATTTTCACTGTGTGTTCTACATTCTTTTCAAGATTATATATTTGTCTTCATTGTCTGAGGTCCTGTCTTCCAAGTGGTCTAATCTGTTGGTGATACTTTCAATTAAACTTTTGATTTATTGTTGCTTTAATTTCAAGTATTTCTGTTGTTTTTTTAAAACCTCTATTTCCCTTTTGAAGTAATCTTTTGCTTCCTATATTTGTTTATGTGGCTCTTTGTCAAAATGATCTTTTGCTGCTTGTATTTGCTCTCTTATATCATCTTTTAATTCACAGAACATTTTAATTATGTACATCCTGAACTCTTTCTGTCATATCTTCTGCTGTGCTGGCCATGGATTCTAATAATGTGGTGTATTGATTTGTTTGGGGCACTTTCTTCCCTTGTCTTTTCATATTGCTTGTGTGTCTTCCCTTCTAGCACCATGGATCCTAGGTGAAGGGTGGGCAGGAATATCGGTGCCAGAGAAGCTGTATTCTCACAACTTGAATCCCACATCACAGAGCGATGCAGAATGCTGCCTCCCTCTGGCCCACCACCTTGGATTCTGTCGTTTCTTTTTGTTGTTGTTTCTTCAGTTTCTTTTTTTAAAAAATATTTTTAGTTGTAGATGAACAAGATACCTTTATTTATTTTTATGTGATGCTGAAGATCAAACCAGGTGCCTCACACATGCTAGGCAAGCGCTCTACCACTGAGCTACAATCCCAGTCCCTTTTTAAAAAAATATTGTTTTAGTTGTAGATGGACACCATACCTTTATTTTATGTGGTGCTGAGTATCGAACCCAGTGGCTCCTACGTGCTAGGCACGTGTTCTACCACTGAGCTGCAACCCCATTCCCCTTCCAGTTTCTTAACTTATTAACACTGTTGCAATATTTCAATCAGAAACAAGCAAACAACACTGTTCATTAAAATGAATTTGGTGGCCAGGCCTAGTGGTACACACTTGTAATCCAAGTTAATCAGGAGGCTGAGGCAGGAGGATTGCATGTCTGAGGTATCAGCCTGGGCAATTTAGTAAGATTCTGTCTCAAAAAAGAAACATTTTTTAAAGAACTGGGATGTGGTTCAGAGGTAGTACACTTGCCTAGGTTGTACAACGCTCTTAATTCAATCCCCAGTACAGGGGGAAAAAAAAAGTTTGGTAGATTTTACCTTGGAAAGCCCCTAAAATAGGTGGGAAATAGAATGTATTTTATTGCCACTGACCCCAATCAAGTCCTATTTGGGCAGTGAACACGTTTGCATACCAGGAAGCCTTTTTAACTCTGCTTCTATCAGAAAAATGGACGTTTTAGTTCTGAATATATTGTTATCTATATTTTAATGAAACAGTATCACTTAAAATTTTAAATTAAATAACTGGTTATTTGAAACATTAAACATCAACTATACAAAACAATACTCTTGAGAACACATAGAGCTTATTATTAGGTCTGAAAAAATATATCCTTATATTTGGGGAATATTTTCTTTCAGAGTTAATTTTAATTCTAAAAGAAGTCTCAAAACTAATCTGGATTCAAATTCCATTCTATACAATGGATTATTATAGTAATTACATACAAAACTTTCTAAGAATCTAAACTATTAACCCTTAAGCATTTGCATGAAAAGTGACAAAAGTCTTACTGGATTAAATTGGAAGCATTTATTTGCCAACTCAAACTTTTAAAATACCTAAAATAAAAAGTCAATCATTCATCTCCAAAATCTGATAAATGTTAAAGAAAATTTCTCCCCCAAAATGAACATAGTGAAGCCTGCCTAGGAATGAAGTGTGCCACCACACCTGGCACAACCAAGGAAAGTTTTAAAATTAATTTGGTTTGCCAGTCATGGTAGTGCAGGTTTGTAATCCCAGCAAGTAAGGAGGCTGAGGCAGGAGTTCAAGCCAGCCTTGCAACTTAGTGAGACTCTTAGCAACTTAGCAAGATCATTGCAAAATTAAAAAAAAAAAAAGACTGGGAATGTAGCTCAGTGGTTAAAAGCCCCGTGGATTCAATCTCAGTACTGGGGTATGAAAAAAAAAATCTAATTAATTTAGTTTTTTAGGGCTGGGCTTGTAGCTCAATGGTAGAGTGCTTGCCTAGTATGTGCGAGGCCCTGGGTCCGATCCTCAGCACCATATAAAAATAAATAAATAAAATAAAGGTATTGTGTCCAACTACAACTAAAAAATAAATATTAAAAAATATTTAGTTTTTAAAAAATGGTCGGGGGAATATTAATAGACAAATATTAAGACATTCTGTCATATCCTGTTGTCTGCTGTACCAGGGAGTGGGCTTTCTAAACATCCATGGAAAATATACCAAGACTAAAAATAATGAAAGGAAAAAAAAAAAAAGAAATAGTCTGCAAGGGCTCTCTGGAGCAAGGCAAGAATCTGGATAGCCTATTTACAGGCAAGAGAGCTTTCATAATTGCCCAGAGTGAATTACAGTGAGTATGGCAGTTATCAAAGCACATTCTATTCTCCCTTAGGTTGTTATCAGATGGAGAATTCCTTTTGGGGGGAAGAAAGGAGGCAGGGGAAGGACAGGTTGTGAAAAGCCAACTAGCTGAGGTTAAAAAAAAATTGTTTACTTCCTTCATCATTTTCATTTTTTTAAGAAAGTCTCTTACTTTTCTTAGAATTTTTCCTTCTGCACGTCTCACAAGGAAGGCATGTTTCCTTATAAAGATATGCTTAACAATGAAGAGCTTTCTGAAATGTCTTTTACAAGGAGCATGTTACACCTTATTTTTTACTATATTTATAACTTATGTAACTGCAACTAAAATTCAAGCTTTAAAAGTTTTTTTCTTTTCAACTCATGAACTTCAAAACCAATGGAAAGAACATGGCCAAGATTTGAAGAAATATCCAGCAGTTACATCTCCTATGTTAAAAAATCTTACCAGACAATAAAATTCTCCCTTCAGAAAATACACTTCAACTATGAAGTTACACTTAGAAAAGGGGTCTTTACAGATACCAAATTAAACATTTTGGTTTTTAAATTAGAATAAATACTGTTAACAAAAATTAAATTGCTTTAGCAATGAAAAAAATCTTTGCAGTATAAAATTGTAAGATTACATATTAAAAATAAAAACTAAGTCTTTACTCATTTTTATTGAATGTTTTGTGAAAATGATCCTTTAAAGGGCTTATGGGAAAGATGAGAAAAAAATTGCCTTTAAAATTCTAATCATTTCATTGAATTAATTTTTTGTTGTTTTTGAAAGATATGTTTAATAGATGTTACAGAGAAAGCTAAAAAATAAAAATAATTATGCCACTCTTGTAGGTCTTTTGAAATTTTCACATGTCATGGCACTTTATAGTTAAAAAATAAAATGTCCATATGTTTTTATTCACTTAAAAATTTTCCTCAAATACCAATAATTGCTGGAAAGGATGTGGGGGAAAGGGTACGCATACTGGTGGGATTGCAAATTAGTACAACCACATGGAGACCTCAAAAGACTAGGAGTGAATCCACCATATAACCCAGCTATCCCACTCCTGAGTATTTATTCAAAAGAACTAAAATCAGCAGACTACAGTGATACCAGCACAGCAATATTTATAGCAGCACAGTTCACAATAGCCAAGTTATGGAACCAGCCTAGGTGCCCATCAACAGACGAAATAATAAATTGTAGTACACATGCAATGGAGTTTTACTCAGTCATAAAGAAGAATGAAATTTTGTCATATGCTGGTAAATGGATGGAACTGGAGAGCATCATACTAAGTGAAATAAGCCAGAGCCAGAAAGTTAAAGGTCAAATGTGTTCTCTCATACGTAGAAGCTAAGAGAAAAAAACAGAAAGAATAAAATCGGGGATCTCACAAAAACAGGGAGACCAAGGGAGACCAAGAGATTAAAGGAAGGGATTAGAAGGAAAGGAGGAGGGGATGGCATTGAGAAGTACTGGGAAACAAAATTTCCTAAATCATGCTATCTCCATGTATGAATATACCACAATTAATCCCTATTTTATTTATATATATATATATATATATATATATATATATGATTATAATGTACTAATTAAAATAATGAGATCAAGGAAAGGGAGGAAGAGGGAAAGGGAATACTTCAGAATTCTCTACTAGATAATAGAGACAGATGCACAGAATGCCAACAAAACAAACAACCTTTAATCTTGAATTTGACTTTTATTTTAAAATACATTTAGCACAGAACTGTCATAGGACAGAAAATAATAAAACACAAAAAAATGGAATATTTTCAAATACTTTTGAGCTAGACATAAAAATTAATAATATAGCATAGACCCCAAAATTCATTCAATAACCACACGTTTTTGAAAGAAAAGCTCTTTTCACATTTTCCAACGTACCGATAGGTTCCAAAGTGCCTTGGTTTCTTTTTAATAGGTAAAGAGCCCAAATTTAATTGCTTTATTTAAAATTATCAGATTCAGTTTCGGTAAAAATTACCATGTCCCTAAATTCTCAATCAGAATTATAAAAATATGAGCTCAAATAGTTATGCTATGCAAAATAGATACATCTGAATTGATATTTCAGGATAATCATAGATATTGCACTAAAATCAGTAATCCCATACCTGATGTTCATCTATATGGAAAGTTAATTCTCTTCTTTATGAATATCTTACTACAAATAAAATTATGTTAATCTAATTACAATCACACTTGAAAATATAAAGGCACAGACAAAAAAAAAATAGTTGCATACTATACCCAAATTTTCCACTGTGAAAACAATAAAAAGTGGGAAAAATAATAGGATCTAAATGATTGATACTTATTATTTTTAGATTTTATAATTTATCTTGAGTAGCTAATAAGTGAGTATTAAAAGTTAACAGTGGGCAATCCAATCCTTTCCAAATTTAGAAAAATGTTTTTACGTATGAAGCATTTGCACCGTCCCATCTATAAATTTCAACTACATTTCCATTCATTGGAAATATCTACCTGCAGTATAAACAATTAAGACAATGTGCAAAAAAATATATCTTGTTCCTATAACTTACAATACACAGAAAAATACCTACAAAAATGGAAAATATTTATCCTTTTAGCTTTCCAATAAATTAGTGAGAAATTTTAGCCCATTCCACATTTCTTTCTAAATAAAGGTCTAAAGGATTAAGGGTGGTTTAGTTCAATCCCTGTTAGTTTGACATATATTTTTTAAATATTTGCCTGATTATATGTAATTAAGATAGAATTAGTCTTTTATATCACAGTATACATGACATTTCTTAATTCAGCAACAGAAAGGCACAATTAGCAAGCAATAAAATTCAGTACCTGAATTATTAAACTGATGTACAAAACAGTTGCAAAAAAAAGTACATTCAACACAGTGTACAGAACTTTAAAAAAAAAAGAATCTAAAAACTAATTTTTCTGAAAATTTGGTCCATTAAAAATGTCTCCCATGTTCAACATCACGGGTAACATGAAAGGTGATGGCAGTGTAAAAAGAGGCAGTAAATTAATATGTGGTAGCATATGAATTCTGGTCTATTAATTATGCAATTCAATTAGGAAATGGCTCCCATAGTAAATAAATGTTAAATATATTTGTTAATAACATACCTGTATTAATTCCAAATACACAGGCACAACTGTTTGCATATTATTATTGATTTAATAATACACCCCACAGTTTAAAAAAAACCTTAGGTATATTATTTTATATATAACATATATTAGACATATAATTGTATATTATGTACCTTAATATATATTATATATAACTTGAATCCATAATAGCACAAAACTCTCCAAACATTACATGAACATTCTAAATAGATACTTAATCATTTTCTCAGTATAGAAATAGTTCAGCTCACCTAAAACAATATCTGGATGTGCAATGATAAAAAGCACTGACTCTTAAGAATTTACTTAAATAATTATTTAAGTTAAATTCTTGCAAAAGCCTAACTCTGATCTTTTACTTAGAGTATATTTTTAGGTATCAGTAACTGATAACTTCCTTTCTTATCACAAACAGTATTTCCCCATCAAGAGATACCAATAAAGAAAAATATGTAGGGAACCAAAAATGTGATAGAGAAACCAACCATTCCATAGGTAATATATCGATAAGGAAGTTCAACTTCCATGTGCTGTCTTGCTTTTCGAATATCATCACATGGTATGTTGAAGATTTTACAGGCTAAAGGAATGGTGATCTTTTTCATTATATCTCTGACTATTAGTACAAATATCATTCCTATGAGGATCCGCAATATGGCTTTTCCAAACAGAGTCACAGTAATGGGAGGCCTAGTGAAAGGTAGTATCTCTAAAGAAGGATCTAATAGTAGACCCACACTATAAGCAACATGGGATCCACATGCAATTCCAGCACCACTTCCTAGAATCTCAGCTGTGTCTCCACGGGATGTGCTCCAGGTATCAAGAGTGAAAGAAAAGATCCCTAAAGCTAAATGAAGACCGATGATGATTAGTGGAGCATATTTGTGAGTTTGGTTGAAGTTGTCAATCAGGTCCACAAATGGATAGAAGACAGCTAAGATTAAAATGGTATATAGGAATCCAGCAATAATGTCCTGGGAAAAGATAAAAGTTGTTTAGTATAGTTGTTTAATATAATACTATTTTTGGCATTTAAAAAATAGTATATATTTCACATTTTAAAAGTTGAATAGATATAAATTTTACAATTCTCAAAGTAAACTTTACAAACTAAAAATGGTTGCAATGATAAAAAAATCTGCTGGTAATAATAAAAGATTATTTTCATAGTTTTACCCTTTTATAAATTAAGAACATATACACTATATGCAAATTTATATCCAGATTCTGAACAATAAACTGTGCTTACATTGTACAGTTTTGTTTCTGAAAGGAAAGTATGTTTATTATTCAAAGAAACAGTCACTTGCTGTCATACAGCTTACATTTTAGTGAAAAAGACTGAGGATAACTGTGTTTAAGTAAGAAAACAGATAAATATTATAGTGACAGATAGTTACAAACGTTGTGTAAAAAGTAAAACAGGATGGGAAGGGCTCTATGAGAGTGGGAGGGAAGCCTGTCTGAGGAAGTCACACCTAAGCAAAGACTAGATTTTAGACAGAACTAGCCCTACCTTTCTTTACAGTACTAGTGGAAAAGATTCTCCAGGCAGAGGGAATACCAAGTGCAAAAGCACAGGCCTTGAGGCAGATAAGTGGCGAGTTCAAGGGAACTGACAGAAATCCAGCATGCCTCAAATATCAAAGGGAGAGGAATATGATACAAAATCAAAGAGATACGTTGAAGTCCAATCATGTAGAACTCTTGTAGTTAGGGAAAGAGTTTAGATTTTATTTCAAAAAGTGACAGGGAGCCAAGGCTGGAGATGTGGCCCAGAGATAGAATGCTTGCCTGGCATGCAAGAGACCTTGGGTTCAATCCCTAGTACGACAAAAAATAAAAATAAAATTCATATCTACATGAAGAGAAGGTATGTCAATGGATTTAGTAAAATATTTTAAAATTAGATTTAATTTAAATTTAATTTCTTTCCCATATTCATAAATTGAATATGGGAAACAAAAGAATTAATAGAAGATAATTTACTGCAAAAAAATAAAGCTAGTATTTAAAGTAACTTTTCTGAATTATTCTTGAAAACATTCAAACATGTTCCATAATTTTTACCTTGAAACCAAATCCTCAGATCTACTCTGTATCACTGAAAATCTTGTCAAAAGAGTTAACAGTCCCTATGTCCATGTCCTCACTTCCTATATTTTTCTAGACTCACTCCTTCAGTGAAACCACCACTTTTCATGGATACTAGCAATCTTCATGACACTAAAAACAATGGTCACTCCTCAACTAGGACAGACTCCAGGAGTCCTCTACCAGAGTTACATTCCCAGCTCTTTTTATGTTTTATTTTGAGACAGGGCCTTGCTAAATTGCCCAGGCTGGCCTCAAACTTTGCAATCCTCTTGCTTCAGCCTTCCAAATCACTGGGATTACAGGCATGCACCACTGTACCCAGCTACAATGGTCACTTCTCAACAGCATTCAATATAGTTGAGCAACAGACTATCTGTCAAATGTTTTGTCTTAAAATTCTTACTGGGAAAAAATTAATGTAGGGTATAAGACAGGTACAGAAATAAACACCTATAATCCCAGTGATTTAGGAGACTCATGCAGGAGAATTGTAAATTTGAAACCAGCCTGAGCAACTTAACAAGGCCCTGTCTCAAAATAAAAAATGAAAAGGACTGGAAATAGAGCTCAGTGGTAGAACACCCCGGATTCAATCCCTAGTACTGCAAAAAAAAAAAAAAAAAAAAAAAAAGAAAAAGAAAAAGAAAGATACATAAGGTGTATATGAAATTACAAAATTACTATCTATGAAATTACTGCCCAACAAAAGAACTATAATATTCCCAGTACTGTCAGATCTATTGGTGCACACTGCCTCCTAATTCTATCACTGTATCCTCCCCAGAGGCAATTTCCAAGTCTGGATTTTGGCTGAATTAACTGTTTTACCACATATCTTGAAGCAAAAAATTATCTAGTTTTGCTTCTTCCTGAGCTTTGTAAAAATATTACCATGTAGCATGTAGCCCCCGGGCCCTTTTTTTTGGTACCAGAGATTGAGCCCAGGGGCACTTAACCACCGAGCCACATCTCCAGCCACTTTTTATATTTTATTTAGAGACAGGGTCTATCTGAGTTGCTTAAGGCTTCACTAAGTTGCTAAGGTTGGCTTTGAATTCTGATCCTCTTGTCTCAACCCCCCAAACTGCTGGGATTATAGGCAGGCACTACCATGCCTGGCCCTTGTGGTCCCTTTTGACTTGTTTTTTACACTTAAGGTTTTTAGATTCATTCATTATATATAATTGTAGATCAACCACATTCACAACTCTATAATATTTTGCTGTGTGATTATACAGTTCATCCATTTTCCTATTCAGATTGTTTTCAGATTTTGGATTAATTAACTGGTCCCGGCTGAACTTGAATGCTTCCTTAGTTGGAATCTATTCTTAAACCAACCAGGAGTATTATAAACATTACTCCTATGCTCTTTTTTGTGATGCTCCCTGGCACAGATCTGTAACTGTTTCTCTAGAGTATATGCTTAGGAATAGATTATCTGAATCATAAAATATGTTCAATTTTACAAGACAATAAAAAGGACAAGAAAAAAATGATACAACCCACTTGAAAACTTAGAATTCCATGAAATAGTTCATATTTTGTCATATTATGTCTTTTCTTCTATCCTTTATCTACATTCCTAGGGTGCCTTCAGAGACACCATGTGAGGAAAAAAAAAGATGCCACATGAGATGCTGAGGGTAAAATATACAGTTCTGTTCTCAAGGAGCTTACAGTTCACTGCAGATGACAGACAAGAAAAAAAGACATCCCAATTAAGGGTAAATGGAAGAAGGGTCACCTAACCAGTATTAAGAAAGGGAAGATGGGGAAGGTAATGAGAATAGGACAGCTAGCCAGGCCAAGACAGTGAAAAGGGCATTCCAAGCAAAGGTATTCCTAATATCATAGAGGTAAAAAATACTCTGCATTTAAGTAAATGTAATTCCGCACGGCATCACATCTGTGGGAAAATTTACTAATCAGGAGACTGAATACTAGATGGAGCAGTCAAACTGGAAGCAGGGCTACTAATTAAGAAATTGCTGAGATAGTCTGGTCAATATATAATGCAGGTCAGGACTAAGGGGATGTCAATAGGATAGAGAGGGATAGGAAGTGAGTAGGTGTGGCTGTAAACAGAGCAGCCCCCTCCCCATGTTGCTGTTTTTGAAATGTAAATACAGTCTCAAAATAAAATATCTGATGTGAGTCTTAAAAATACTGATAGGAAAATGAAGAAATTTAGAGTTTCATATGTAAAGACGTAGCCACCAGTCACTAAGTCTTGACTAATACTTAGTACTCTCCCTGGTTTCTGGACAGAGTACCTGGTTTCAGTTCAGTGACAGGAGAGGCACCAAAGAGATTCTACAGGAATATAAAACTGAGACACCGTTTCTATGAGACATGATTACTACATTCATAATTCACAAGTCATCATACTGGTACTCTGTAAAACAGTTATAAGACTTAAAATAACTATTTTCTTTTAGGTTTCATATAAACTTGCAAATGATTAAAATTATAAAAATTTTCATCAATGTCAGAAAAAATAAAGCATTAAAAACAATGTTTTTCTTACCAGAATGGAGTGCATTCCCATGTAAATTCTACTTAGGCAAACTAGAGAACACCAGCAGGGAATAAGAATCAGTCCATATACAGGAGGATACTATAAGGGAAAGAAGTGAAACTGGTTAGATTAAGTTAGATACAAACAAGAAATAAAAACCAAATCACTGTACTAACTCCAGGGTTATCGAGAACTGTTTTTACTCCCCATTGCACTCCCAGCACCTAATTCAGGGCATAGCACATGTCACACACTAAAGAAATACTTTTCCAACGATGAACAAATGACTGAATTTTCATGTTTCTACATTATTCTTTCTGGGAACTGGCTCATTTTTGCTTCTGAAGTACAGATTTGATCACTGGCATGCTACAGGAGGGGGACAGATAGAAGACATATTTTAATATGGTTCCAAAATTAGAGTTGCTGGAACAGCACCTCAATCTGGTCCATGTCAATGTCCTCACTTCCCTGGGGAGGAGGACCAAGAATTTTCTTCCTAATTTCCATCAGTGATCACTATTTCTAATTTGCATTGACATTTCCCCTCCTCATATTCAATATTTAACACTTAGTAATTAGCTTTCCACTTCTGTGCCCTCCACTAAAATTTCAAATGCTAATACTGAAAAAATTTGCAGTGAGATAATGGGAGCAGAAACCTCCCAAAAGAAAAAAGCATAAACAGAAAGTAAAGGCAACTCTTGGTATCAATGGCACCAATGGAAGAACTGACATTGAATGTCCTGAGATTAGAGGGAAGGAGGAAATAATGGATGGGTATGATGCTAAGTTTGTAAAGGAAGAGGAGAAAGCACAGTCAGGGCAGTTTATACCTCAAATTTCTCAAAATTTGAAAGCCAAACTGAAGCCAAGATGGTTGGAGAACTGGAGTTGAAAGAAGATTTTGAGAGTAGTAAATATTTAGTAACATTTATTCTATTTGACTTCTCTACTACATTTTACATGGCCCTCCATTTTTTCTTGAAACTCTCAATACCCTTGAGAGCCCTGGCTTCACACTCTCTAGTTCGCTTTTTTGTTTCTGATCCAAGAGTATATCTTCCTCTTTTTATTCCTTAAACATTAGTGCAAATAAGGGGTTTTGTTTTGTTTTGTTTTGACAGGGGAGGTACTGGGAGTTGAACCCAGGGGCACTTATTCACTGAGCTATGACCCCAGCCCTTTTTATATTTTATTTTGAGACAGGATCTCAATAAGTTGCTAAGGCTGGCTTTGAACTTGAAATCCTTGTGCCTCAGCCTTCTGGGTCGGTGGGATTACAGGTGTGCTTATTTATTTTAAACATTTATTTTAGTTGTAGATGAACACAATACCTTTATTTTATTTTTATGTGGTGCTGAGGATTAAACCCAGTGCCTCACACATGCCAAGTGAGCGCTCTACCACTGAGCCACAATCCCAGCCCTTCTTATTTTTTAACTAGTACTGGGCATGCTGAAGACCTATCCATTTCCCTGAGTTTAAGGACCAATTTCCAATTCCTGTATGTATCTTCATCTCAAAGTCCCTATGGAGTTAAACCCACCACCTCAAAACAAACTCATCAGCCTATCACTCACACAAACTTGCTCTATAATATTCTAAATAAGAAACATGAATTATCCTTACTTCTTTTCTTATCCTTCTACTCAAGCAATAACTAAGCTTGACTAATCTAGCCTTACCAAGTACTACCTTCTAAATATTCCTTGCTGTCATCTCTTCTACATCCCTATTTATATTTCTCTTGCTCAGATCCTTAGTTTCTTTTACAGGCTCCCTATGCATTCCCTACTGCCCACTGTGCCCCATGCATGAGGAACTTGGTTTACTTGGGCAAACAGACATTTAACCATACAATGAGGTAAGTACTGACAGAAGTATACTAAAAATTCAGAGGTACCCTTGGGGGACAAGTGGTTAATTTATCTTAGAGATGTCAACAAAGTCTCCTAGATTAAGTAAGATTAAAAGATGGGTAGGATTTCATCAGAGAAAGGAATGAAGTACAGTGCTAAAAAGATGGAGAAGATTACAAACAGCAGGAACAGATGAGCAAAGGCTTTTCTATATGCAAGAAATTGTAGGCAGTGAGAGAACAAATTTCTCTTCCTGATGAGGAAAACATCAAATAGCAAACACATAAATATGCAAATTATAATATAAATTACATGTAAAATATGATGACTGGTATAGAGAAAGAGAACAGGTGTTAAAGAATCAGTAATAATCATGAGTATTTTTCATGCTCTGCGTTTCAGGTTCATTTGGCAGTTAGATTAAGGGCATGTGACCAGTTTTGGCCAATAAGCTGGGCGGGGGGGTGGGGGTGGAGGTATGCCTTACGACACTTTCAATCATTCTTTGAACCCTCTCTTCCCAGAGATGTGATTTTGAAAACCATATGTTGAGCCATGTGTGAAGGCTGAGGCAGGAGGTTCAAAGCCAGCCTCAGCAAAATTGAGGAGCTAAGCAATTCAGTGACATCCTGTCTCTAAATAAAATACAATATAGGGCTGGGGATGTGGCTCAGTGGCAGAGTGCCCCTGAGTTCAATCCCTGGTACCCCCACCAAAAAAAAAAAAAAAAAGGAAAAGAAAACCATATGTTGAGATGCATAACAAGATAGGTTATGCATCAGCTTGGGTCCTTGAGGTCATAAGTGAACAGAGCTGTTGGCTAACCCATAATGGATATGTAAACACAAATCAGAGAGAAGCTTTTGTTGTGTTAAACCACTGAGATTTGGAGGGGTAAAGCCATTGCCACAATATAACCAAGCTTACTTTAATTTAGACAGAAACAGGCATGGGATCAGGAGTTTAGAAGTGTTAGTGGGGCAGGTTACTGTTACATTATATAGAAGATGGTCTGTGGAGGGGCTGGGGATGTGGCTCAGCAGTAGAGTGCTCACCTAGCACCTGCAAGGCACTGGGTTCGATCCTCATCACCACATAATTAATTAATTAATAAAGGTATTGTGTCCAACTTAAAAAAAAAAAGAAGAAGAAGAAGAAGATGGTCTGTGGAGACTTCATTGAGCAGCTGAGATTTGAGGCAAGACCAGATACAGGCAAGAGAATTAGCCACGCAGATACCTGAAGGAAGAACACATACAAGGAAGAGGAGTCAGCTGGTGCCAAGTTCCCAAGACTGGGAAGGAACCTACTGTGGTCAGAGCAGAGAGAACACACATCAGAGATAGAGAGGCAATGGGGGCAGATTAAGAACAGTCTGAGAGGCCACTGTAAAAAGACTGGAGATGTAGTTCAGAGGTAAAGTGACCCTGGGTTCAATCCCCCAAAACAAACATAAATCAAGTATAGCAGTGTCAGATTGACTGCTAGGTTGAGATTAAATTTGGTGGATCAAAGGCAATAACAAGGAGACCAGTTAGAAGGCTTTTATAGTATCATCTAGGTGAGGGAGGATAACATGGTTTCTATTTGTACAGTAGAAACTCAAGTCTTTTAGATATTTCTGTTAATCTTTTAGAAGTTGTTAATAGAACAAGACAGCCTAACAAATAAAGCAAAACCCTCTTAGCCTTTCCTTTTCCCCTAATCCATGGCACCTTCAGACTTCACTGCGAGGAAGAGTAGAATAGTTGGGAAAAGTCAATTTCATTTTAATCAATTGGTTGATTTTGGGGAGGCCATTAGCCTTCAGGGTATTTTCTCTAGAATTTGCTCTGAGAAAAATTCCTTATAAGAAACACCTGATTCAGTTCTGACTACATGATGGCTTTCATGTTACTTCCCATTGAATAATGGAATTCTGAGCCAGTGAGCAGGGAGGCAAAAAGTATTCCATCAGTAATCGTAAAGCAGATTTAAATAAAGACCTCAGATCTTAATGACCAAAGGAAATAAACTAGATAGGCTAAATAAGAACAATAGAACTAAAATGGGATCATGTGAGGAAGAATTATGTATAACTAATTCATCTATTACATTTATTTATTTCATATTTAAGAATTTCCAAATTATATCTACCTTTAATTTTATGTTAAACTGTCTTTAAAAACAAATTTAGAACCACTGTCTTCATTTAGATGTAACTGAAGGAAAATAGAACTATGTGGAATTATCCTTTGCCAAAAAATAATTCATTAAAAATATGTAATATATGAATATGTACACACACACATACACAGTAATCATTTTCAGTCATCTATTAGTTCCCCCATTTTTTCATGACTTTTTGGAGTACCCCAGGGCTTAATCCTACATATACTTCCTTTCCCTCTCTACATCACTCCCTTGATACAGTTCATATGCTCATGGCTTAAACTTATTTCTCTAGCCTGGACTTCTCTCCTAAATTCCAGAGTTGTATATCCAACTGCCTTCTTGATATTTCCATTTCAATGTCTAACAGGCATCACAATGTAACATGACCAAACCTGAACTCCAGGTTTCTCTTTCATCTCGCCATCCAGTTGTTAACTGCAATCCTTATGTTAACCGAAAGGAAAGCATATAATATACACAGAAGGAAAAGAGAAGAGAATCCAAAACAACAACAACTGAACATAGTAAAATGAAAAAAATGAGAAACAAAAAGCGCATTAAAAAAAGGTGGAAAAAAATTAGCAAAATGGCAAAAGTCACTCCTTACTAGTAATTACTTTGAGCAGAAACAGTTTAAACTCCCAATCAGGCAGAGATTTGGCAGAATGAATAATACAGTGTGAAAATATATACATTGTGAAAAACACTCACCTTTAGATGCAAAGACACAAAAAAGTTGAAAGTGAATGAAGGGAAAAAGATTACAAACAATAACAGAGAGCAAGGTGGGTATTTCAATACCAGACAAAATAGACTTAAGTCAAAAACTGTTCCAAAGGACAAAGGAGAGTAAATATTGACACAAGGGTCAATTCAACAACAAGATATAACAATTATAAGCATACATGCACCAAACAAAGCCTCAAAATAAACAGAGCCAATATGAGCATCTTAGTTGATGTAAAAAAAAAAAAAAAGAATTTGACAAAATCCAATACCTTTCACGATAAAAATATTTAAAGAACAAGGAACAGAAGAAGAGAATTTCTACAACATGATAAATGGCATTTATGAAATATATAC